GGCTGGCCGGCCCTTGAGGCGCGCCAAGGAGGGGGGAGTCCTCCTCCTAGTGGAGTAGGACTCCACTTTCCTAGTCCAACTAGGAAGAGGGAAGGGGGAAGGAAAGAGAGGGAGAGGGAGAGGGAAAGAGGGGCCGCGCCCCCCCTCCCCTAGTCCAATTCGGACTCCCCATGGGAGAGGGCGCGCCACCTCCTGGGCTGCTGCCCTCTCTCTCCCCTCAGGCCCACTAAGGCCCAATACTTCCCCGGGGGGGTTCCGGTAACGCTTCCGGCACTCCGGTTTTCTTCGAAATCACCCGAAACACTTCCGGTGTCCGAATATAGCCGTCCAATATATCGATCTTTATGTCTCGATCATTTCGAGACTCCTCGTCATGTCTGTGATCATATCCGGGACTCCGAACAACCTTCGGTACATCAAAATATATAAACTCATAATGAAACTGTCATCGTAACGTTAAGCGTGCGGACCCTACGGGTTCGAGAATACTGTAGACATGACCGAGACACGTCTCCGGTTAATAACCAATAGCGGAACCTGGATGCTCATATTGGCTCCCACATATTCTACGAAGATCTTTTATCGGTCAAACCGCATAACAACATACGTTGTTCCCTTTGTCATCGGTATGTTACTTGCCTGAGATTTGATCGTCGGTATCTCAATACCTAGTTCAATCTCGTTACCGGCAAGTCTCTTTACTCGTTCCGTAATACATCATCCCGCAACTAACTTATTAGTTGCAATGCTTGCAAGGCTTATGTGATGTGCATTACCGAGAGGGCCCAGAGATACCTCTCCGACAATCGGAGTGACAAATCCTAATCTCGAAATACGCCAACCCAACAAGTACCTTCGGAGACACCTGTAGAGCACCTTTATAATCACCCGGTTACGTTGTGACATTTGGTAGCACACAAAGTGTTCCTCCGGTAAACGGGGGTTGCATAATCTCATAGTCATAGGAACATGTATAAGTCATGAAGAAAGCAATAGCAACAAACTAAACAATCAAGTGCTAAGCTAACGAAATGGGTCAAGTCAATCACATCATTCTCCTAATGATGTGATCCCGTTAATCAAATGACAACTCATATCTATGGTTAGGAAACTTAACCATCTTCGATCAACGAGCTAGTCAAGTAGAGGCATACTAGTGACACTATGTTTGTCTATGTGTTCACACATGTATTATGTTTCCGGTTAATACAATTCTAGCATGAATAATAAACATTTATTATGATATAAGGAAATAAATAATAACTTTATTATTGCCTCTAGGGCATATTTACTTCACTCTCATACATCCAGAGGTACTCGTCCCATGGATATGCGATTGTGCCATAGGCAAGCATCTACATTGTAGTTGTGCACTTCTGGTAACAAGAGAACCCAATGGTTCCAACGACATCCTTTTTCAATATGAAGTAATTATCATAAACTGGGATAGCATGGTAGTTGTGACCGAACACTTGTCGCCGCATCCAAAATTGACAATAGAAATAGGGCACGAATAACGCTTTAGGGGCAATGTGGACGTTGACTAGCGTGAGAGGCCCTCGTGCCCTATTTCGATTCAACAAGCGATGTCCCTTTATTGATCCCTTATAGTTGAGAACACGCTCCTCATCACATACAGCTACAAGGATCAAGATGGACCTAGAGTGGGTGAATAGGTACAATTATATATGGATCTAGATGCACCTAGACATGGGAATTAGGCTTGCAAGAGTATGGTTCCATTAGATAGGTGATGAAGCATGAGCTCAAAACTTCACTCAAGCCATGTTAGTTGGGTTTGGAGTGCATTCTAACCCCCACCCTGGTGCTAAATACGGGGTTGCACCACTCGTTTTGTGTGCACTAAAAAATAGAGATAGTCGAAAGCATGAATAATCTATTATAACAACGATTTTATAGATGGGGGTGTATGCCGATTCTATGAATTTTTCTGACCTCACAATCACATATTGGACGAGAGGAAAATCGATCAGAGCATAGTAAGTAGTTTATTAGTTGTTTAGGGTAATGAGAGGTTTACTCGTAGTAAGGTAAAAATGAGACTCTATAACTTTTTATGAGTTTTTGTCTAGAGAAATCATTTTTTAGAAAGTGTTCCAAATCGGTCGACTGATCTCGACCGAGAAGTCACGCACACCATGTGCATTTGTGGGCCCCTGTGCAGATTGTCTCATCCCAGCCTACACGCCTAACACACCACCCTCCCTCCTCATCCATAGAGGAAGCCTTCCAAGCCACTTGTTTGTCTTTTTTCCTGTGCACCGACTTTCTCATCTCCTCTGTATTCTCTCTCACGTGTCTTCTACCTCGCTCAAATCCATGGACCTCCTTCCTCCTTCGTTGCAGCAACGCCCGTCAGGGTCGCGAGGGTTGTCGCCTACCTCCACAGCCCCGCTCGCGTGGTTCTCCATCCTCGTGCACGCCGCCTAACCCCTCTCACACTCTTTGTTTGTGGGCTCGATCATGTGCCGCAAGGAGAAGAGAAAGAAATATGTGTGTGTGGATCTCCATCCCCGTGCACGCCGCCTAACCCCTCTCCCACTATCCATTTGTGGGCTCGGTTATGTGCTGCAAGGAGGGGAGATAAGGTGTGCATGGATCTCCATCTCCATGCATGCGGCCTAACCCCTCTCACACTCTCTGTCATTGGCTCGATCATGTGCTAGAAGAAGGGGAGAAAAGGTGCATGTGGATCCCCATTCCCATTCACGTCGCCTAACCCCTTTCCCATTCTCTATTTTGTGGACTCGATGATGTGTTGCAAGGAGGGGAGAGAAGGTGCACGTGGATCTTCATCCTTGTGCACACCGCCTAAGCCCTCCCACACTCTCTGTTTGTGTGCTCGATCACGTGTTGCGATGAGGGGAGAGAAGGTGTGTGTGGATGTGCTTGACGACTAGCGCTACTAGTCGCCAAGAGTTGATGTGACCAATCGCGAGTGATGCTAGGAGCGACTTGGCGATTCTACGACCTCTTATTAACGATGTTGGAAGGGGCTAGTGGAAACAACCATGGCCGACTGGTGGCGTCAAATGTTGCAACCGTAGGTCGTAGGTGCAGTGATCGACGACGTTATGTGCTGCAGACGACGTCGCTAGGCGTGACGAGCGTCCAATGTTGTGACCTGCCAGCCGTTCGGTTTTTTCGTTGGTTTTTTTCATAACAAAAGTTCATCAAAATCTATCAACATGAGATCTAGTTTTGAAGATCTCGACACATGAATCCAATGGTGAAAACGGTTCAAGATTTGGACGCATGATTTAAGAGTAAAATATTTTGAATAAACGGATCTGCGAAAAAAAGGAAAACTCTCAGCTTGCGACAAGCGGCGCACATGCTCATGCTTAATTACTTTTTTTTAGGGATTCATACCCAGTTAGTGATTTCGTACTCTATTCGGCTCTTTTTTTTTAGTAGAGCGGAGCGGTGTGAAACAGGCCCGCTAAGGACTTGCGGCTTTTAACGGGCTTTGCTGACTTTAACTTTGCAGGCCGCGGGAACTAGCGTTGAACTCGTATTGGGCCCGGCCAGCATACAAGGCGGTTTAGCCCACCGACTGGCGCCAGTTATCTCCCTCTCTCTCTCCGTGGCAGTGCTGTTCGGGAGGCTCTAGCCCTGGCCAAAGATCTGAACTTGCAGAATCTACACGTTGCATCAAACTGTAAAGTGGTGATTGAGGACATGAAGGAGCAAAACCCAGCTGGTTATGGTGCAATTCTACATGAAATAACTGACCTTGCGAATGGTTTCGTAGAGTGTAATTTTGTTCATGAGTATAGGAGCTCCAACTTCGAGTCTCACAATCTAGCGAAGCATGCTTTAAAGTTAGGGGTGGGCCACCATGTTTGGTTAGGACACCCCGGTAATCTCGTTTTTGTCCCTGTAAACATTTATCAGGATCAATAAAAGCTTCGCGTGATTGTCTAAAAAAAAAAAAGCAAATAAAAGCAGAACCCAATCCACTGGGACCCGCACCCAAGTCGTCCTTCTCTTCCACCCTAGAAAGAAAGAAGTCGTCTCTCTCCTCCCAACTCCGCATCCGCCCTCGCCTCGAGCCTCCATCGGCAAACCTCGCCGAGACGCAGACCGACCACGACACCGCCGCCGTCCAAGGCCCAGAGATCCGAGCCCCCCTCGCCCTCCCTTCCGTGCTTCCTGCCAACGACGGGAGGCGGAGAATCCCCCACCCCACAGATCCAGGATCTGCCCGCCGCCGGAGAACCCTAGAGGGTCCACCCAGGCCCGGAGGTGACTTCCCTGACCTTTCGGAACTACGCTAGCACTGGTATCACTACGAATATACTCCTACTTCGTTGATTGGGTCGCTGGCATGCGCAAAGCCCTAGCGCGGTGGGATCCCGTGGGTTCTTGGTAACCGCGGTGCATGTTTATGTTGTCATGAACGGGAGCCGGATTTATGTTCTTCCAGTTCGGTGCTGTTCGTGGGAACCCCCGATGGCGAGGCTGGGTAGCTTAGGCGCTATGGTAGTGACTATGGTGTAGACTGCTCTGTTGTTAGAAGAGTGTGATAAGAAGGATGGATGCAGAGATCTAGCCAGGCTGTCCTCGTGAACCTGATGTGTTCTACAAATTAGCTTTTCTTGTACTACTTCACTTCCTATGTTGACTGGTAAAGGTTACTTGCATTCGGATGCCTGGTGTACCTGATAACCTGATTGTTATTGTCATCCTGAACGGTGACGAAAACTTCGAGAAGACTGAAGTTTATCAGCCTATTATTCGTAGTGTATGTGTCGGACAAGCACAATAGTAGCGTAGTAGGAAGTTTGGATGAGCTGCTGCTTCTGGAGTATTGTTCCTTTTTTCTACTAGTATAGAAACCAGTGACCTTAATTTGATGGGTTTTTTTCTATATCGGTGGGTGCATCTTTGTTACTCTGCTTGCTTACACCACATCACTATTAAACTTCTTTGTCCTTGCAGGGCTTTCTCCCTATTGAATCCAAGTTTTCATTGTAATGGAGGCAGCTTTGAATATGTCACTTGATGATATGATTAAGAACAGAAGTGGGAGGGGAAGAGGAAGGGGAAGGGGACAGAGGGTTGGTCGAGGCCGAGGTGATGGCCAAAGGTCAGGCAGAGGTGATGGCCAAAGGCTAGGCCGTGGTTTAGGCCGTGGACGCGGTGCTGGAACCTTCCGTGGAAGGGGAGTGCCTTACCAAAGGCCACTTGGTGTCAATACTCGCTCGTCATCGTATGCTATTGCCAAGGCAAGCACAAAACCATCGCTGTTTTACTGTATACCCTCAAGAACCCAAATTACAATACATACTTGACAAGAAGTGGCTATGAACATAATAAATGGGACAGCTCAGACCTCAGGGCTCAGTTCAGATCATATCTTCCATACTTATGAACTCTGGAGCTTCAAAGAGGATCCGAGAGGTTTCTCAATTTGAAAATGCCCTGAGAACTGCCTCTTAGCTGCTGACAATTTTGTGGCGAGATATTTGTTGGTTTGTTCTGGTTAATGCTTCAAACTGAAAAACACATTGTATCTTCTCATGGTCAGCATGCTGATGGACTATGTATTAACCTGTTGGATACTTATTTCTCTGGATAAGGTCTTTGGTCAATACAGGGGCTATCAGCTAGCACCCATTTTATGCAATGGTGTATGGTTTTATAGTTTTGCTGATGCTAGTTGACTCGTCAAATACTGTGGATTGATGAGCTTTGGGGATTATGCTAACAATTTATCATCACAATCTGGGTGTGCATGCTGTGGAATATCATCAGTCATTCAACAAAACAAAGGATTTTGCATGGACACATGATCGGTTTGAGGATAGCATGGTGGCTGCTGGACTTCCTGGGATAGAAACTGGTACCAAGCTGTATGTTTCAAACTTGCACTACGGAGTGACAAAGGAAGATTTACAGGTAGCTGGATTGTTATATTATGCATGCTGGAATATCCGACAGCTTCAATCATATTGGACTTTCTCGACCTGATCTTATCTGCCAACAACTGTTTCAGGAACTTTTCTCTGAAATGGGTCATTTGAAGAACTGCATTGTTCATTATGACAATAATAGACACCCAACTGTAAGTCTTTTATGAATGCTTGTTTTTCTTCTGCAAGTTTTTACAATTAAGCACTCACTTCTGCAAATCTTATGCTACGAGCAAGTGCCTTCTGCCCAAACATATGCCTGATCATTCATGATGAACATATCATGTGCATGGTTGTTTGTAATGAACTTAGGATCTACCAACTATAAGCTAGAATTTGGCCCAGCACAGACTGATAATAACACACATAATTACTCTTGTAAGTGTATGAAATGATAACAGGGTATCCTTTTCTCCTGCAATATGTTTTGTATGTTTATTCATGTCAAACTTGATGTTGCTTGCCCAAAGCTGAATCTGGCTTTGATTTATTGCTAGTTTAGACCTTTGACCTTAGAACTTGTGTCCACCAAGCTCTTCACGGCCCCAAAACATACATGACAGTATGACACACAGAAGCTTTGTGCGAACAGCCTTTTTTTAATATAATCTTACTATCAATGGTCTCTCCACTTGTGGCCTGAAGGTCCTGTGGTTTGAACCCAGCCTCCTTGCAGAATTATTATGCAAGGGTAAGGCTGTCTAGAAATTACCTTCCTAAGATCCCACCTTGTGTGGGAGCTTTCAGCACTGGGTACGCCCTTTTTTTACTTTCTTACTTTTGATAGTCATTGGGCAACTTATTTAACCTAATACTCCAATCTTCATTTCTTATTTGAATATTTATCTACCTTTGCCTGCCAAACGTTAGTGAAAGTGCTGGTGCCTCTATTAAATTATGACAGGCCATAAAATAGAGCATATTCTGGTGGTCCTACTCTACAGCTTTGCTCGGAAAAAGACTAGTGCATGCCAGAATATTATATGGTCATATTTTTTATGGATATTCTTGAGCAGGGTTCAGCTGAGGTGATATTCACTAGGAGGAGTGAAGCTGTTCAAGCATTGAAACGATATAATAATGTACGCCTTGATGGGAAAGAAATGAAGATCGAAATGATTGGAGCAAATTTGGGTTTGGCTGCTGCTCCTGCACCTCGTGTTAATGTTGTTTCAGGCGCAAGAGGAAGAGGACAGAGAGAAGTTGTGATGTATGGCTCTTCTTTGCAAGTGCATCTTTTAGTTAGAGGATCCATGCTCATTAAATTTACCAATCACATTATAGTAGCTTGAAATTTCTGCCTTTCTGTTTCTGACTACATGATGTTTTCAGGTCCCATCCAAATGGGTTTGGTCGAGGTGCAACTGACTCGTCTAGTTTCCTTCCTGGGTAGGTTCTTAGGATTCAATATTTTCATAATTTCTTTTGCTGGATAAAAATACGAGCAGTGCAGCTTTGAACCTTGACTCAAATGGCAATCGATTAAAGTCTGGCAACAGGTGGTTGCTATGAACCTTTGTGTGCCTGTACGACATGTGAAATTTTGTTCCCTGGTGTTGTGACTACACATCTTTCTGAACCTTGTGGTAGTGCTAGATATTTCTAGATGTATCGTTGAGCTTAATGCATGTCGTAGTTCATGGTAGGAGCTGGCAACTAATCATACTTGGTACAGTTCCAACTAAAAAGCTGATTGCACATATTTGATTGTTGCTTGTGCATAGCAGAGCCAAATATATTTTACTGTTGGTCGTGTGAGCTATTTTTCTTGTCTTCAGAGGCAAAGTTTCTGTATCATAGTTCTGTGAAAATATTCCATACATAATTATCTGTAAGATACTTATTTATTACTAGATACTTATTTATTACCTTGACCTTGATTAACACATTGTGTTTTACCTTCAGGTGGAAGCGCAACAACGGCTTTGCTCAAAGAGGAGGATCGGTCCGTGGGCGTGGGCGTGGCCGTGGCCGTAGCACCTTTGGTCGAGGTCGTGGACGTGGCGTCTATGTACGGAAGGGGTTGGTGAAATCGGCTGACCAATTGGACAAGGAGCTGGACACCTATCATTCTGGAGCAATGAATGTTGACTAAGATGCTGCATCTTATCACATTGAACCTAGAACTTGGCTGAGGCTTTGAATTTGAGCTTGTTTTATGTGTGGTTTGCTGCCGAGTTGCCGTTGGTCATCTCCCAGTTGTGTGCACATATGTTACATGTCTTTTACATCAAGCTTGAAAACCGTAGATTTGAACTGCAGTTCCTAGTTCTAGTCCAGCAGTAACATTGTAATTGGTGGTTAACAGCTTTGAGCAACCATTTGTTTTCGGTGGCTGTTGCCGTTTAGTATGTTTTCTTCTGATGATTTATTGATAATTTGATTATTCAAGTAAGACAAAAATTTTGTTTCCTTCTGAAAGAAGAGGGAAATGCAATCCAGCGTAGGCAGTCTGTTTGGAGGAGTTCATCATAACCTTCAGGTCGGTACTGCTCGCTGGCGATGCTAAACCTGTACCGCCACTGCTCCGTCCCTCTCCCCGACACACTGCTCCTTCACTGCTCCTCAAGTGCGCCGCCACTCGCCTCAACCGCCCGCAACACATGAGTGAGGTGTTGTCAAATGTAGGGTTGGTCCCACTTGTCATTGAGTATGCGGAAAATTTTGGAGGTAGATTTTTGAGAGTTTGGAGCCGAAATAGCATAGACCAACTTTGACGCACATTTTGCTAGAAGGCAAATTTACAGTGTTGAGCATTTGGAGGCGTGCAAAAGTTCATATGGACAGGAGGCCCGGAGCTGTTTGGAAGCAATACTGTGTGGTAGAAGGGTTGGATGACTGCCCGTGGCTTTTGGTTGAAATTTCTAAATGACTATAAGGTTGAGTGGTTCTTGTCAAACTTTATTGTAGACACCGAATTTGACACCCAAATTTGAAAAAATAAAAAATAAAGACAAGCAATAGTGTAAAAGAGCAATATTCTTTCATGTAGAGCTCTTTATACAATCTCATTGATCCTTGAATCGAATCTACGTACGTCAATCAAAGCATAATCTTTCCAGCTTTGCAAGCTGAAGAGCAACTGAATACATGATCTACTAGTTCAAAAGAAACAATACATAGTGGCAGTGTCACCCTGCATACCTCAAATAACAATTGCTGGGTTCTTCCGGTCAAGAACGCCAGCAGATACCTCAGCTCCCAAGAAACTTAAGACGACTCCTCGTCGGGGTCGTCGGAATCATCGGACGGATCCTCATCAGTTGTCAGTCCGGACATCTCGTCTTGTTCACTGTCAGAAGCAGCCTCCAGAGAAGGCTTCACAGAAGACTTGAACTTGCTCAGGGCCGCAGTCTTGCTTGCTCTCTGAGCGCGTGCCGTGGCCACGCTGGGAGTGGCCGAGACCTGGCTCACCGATGTTACATCCAAGCTCTCTGCTTCGGCTTCCGCTTCGCTGTCATCGCTAGACGATGCCGCCCGCCTTGCTCTTCTCCTGGCTGGAGGAGCCCGGACTGACCGAGGAGGTGCTGGCGTTGGTGGCACCACTGTATTGGCGGCGTCAAGCTTGACACCACCAGCCAATCCTAGTTGCTCTGAAACAAGACACCCAGGTACGACACAAATTGTCAGGAATGTGAACATCTGTTAATGCGTATGATGCGACTTGTTGGACATACCGAATATGGCATCGGCTTGATCTTGTGGCAGTTCTTCCTCCGGGGACTCATCAAGTGACTTGAGCCTTGATGCCATTTGAGCGAGCTCCTTCATAAGGTCCTTGTCAGAAGCCGCTGAAGCAGCCAATGTGTTCACCAGTCCTCTCATGCACTTGATGGCCTTCTGTTCTGATTGCCGGAATCTTAGAAGCACGGCAACCTTGCACAAAGCCAAGGCATATGCTTTCACAGGCGCGCTCTTCTTGTCTTGGCTATTTCCTACCTACAACATTCCAAGCATTTGATGTCAGTTCTCACACACAACTCTTGATAGATTTTATTCCCAGAGAATTTGGTGCAATGTGCATGAGACAACAGGTGAAATGGATGATTTGTACAGTGCATCACAAAGTCGCAACAAAATTATAGAAGCAAGTGAGGGTTTAGAGAGCTCTTAACAGTACCTCCACTGCAATACGGATGGCAAGCCCTTCCTCACTGATGTCATAATTGACAAACGGACCTGGTGAACTGGAAAGGCTTTCGGGACTCATACAAGCTTGCTCTGCTGTTTCCGTTGAAAACAATGGACTTTGTACCATTTGAACCATAAAACGGGCAGCCTGGACTGCCTGTTTACGCTTTTTCGAAACAACAGGTCCACTACCCCCAGCATTACCATGGATACCTGGCCACATGGCTCTCATGAGTGGTACAAATGCACTTGAGACACATCTCTATAAAAAGGAAAGATTGTCAGTACTTTTAGTTTGAAGTCCTTTTTCAAAAGAATATCCTGGAAAATATGAACAATATCTTTATCAACTTGCCTTGTGCTTCTCTGAAAGGGATGGATAATGGAGAAAGAAGACAGACAGACACTGTTTCAATCTGGATAAAGAAAGAAACGTCAGGGTGTGTGAGAAAGAACTGAAAAAAAATAAGGGTGAAATATGAGTAATTGACCTTCCGAGTTCTTTAGATTCCTCCAGGAAATATAATCTTACAAGTTGAGCTAGTATAACAGGATGCAAGTCTGCGGATATGCTTGGATAGTTCTCACTCAAAAGAAGAATTTTTGCAAAACCTTCACCAAGAATGGTCAGGACATTATCATGGTTATCACCCTCTGGGCTGAACTCCCAGTCATCTTTATGAAATCCAGAAAACAGAATACTAAGAACTCCAACGTTTAGATCATCATCATTCAAATCAGAGATGTCCACGGGAGCAAACTGAGTCTTCTCATAATTAGCATCAGATGGTTCAGTTCCAATGGCTTGATCTAATTCTTGTGGACCATGCCAAGACACAAGGTCAATCAAGGCCTTGGATGCCATGGCACTAACCAAGTCAGGCCCATTGATGAATGATAAACGCAACTGCTTCACCAACTCTGTACTTGGTTTGTTCTCTAACAAGCCAAAAAGACAAAGGCATCTTAAAGCAGCCCTCTGTATGTCAACATGTTTCTGCTTTGCCTGCACGATGTAAGATCAAGGGCAGCAAATTTAGAACCCACACTCAATTGATGAACCTTAAGAACACATGCACTTAGTACCTAGAAAAGCTGCAAAATGTTATAAAGCTATACACCTAGGGGACTGCATAACAATCAGACTTACTGCAGGAAGCAACAATGACTGAAGCACTTCAGATGGTCTGATTGCCGTGCCTTCCAGGCTTCGTAAGGTTGAAGTATTCTCTAGAAGAAGACCTGTCACCGCCAGACAGTGCATCCATTGCATGAAATCAGCAGTTCTCTCCCTGCATGGTCTAGCCAGTTCTTCAACGACAGTGGCAATCACCATTTCAAATTCACCAATAGAAGCATGAACCTTTTTAGCCAATTCTAAGACTGCTTTGGCCCACTGCAGGTCCCCTCCAAGACTGACACCATCACCAATGGCGATCTGGTTTCCATCTTCATCGACTTCATGTTCAAGTGGTCTATTCAGAAGCTCATACAGAAATGAACTTGCAACTTTCCTGTTCATACTATCGGAAAAGTCAAGCATTCCACCAAGCAATAATAGTTGCCGCGACGCGAAGTGATAATTTGGTCCTGAAATGGAATAAACACGTAAAGAAATCAATTTTCACATGTGAGAAAATGCTCCATTTCTGTTGTCTTGAAGAAAAGATAGCCAATTGTAACCATATTTGTAAAAATCAGACCGGACTGGCAGTTCAACTGGAAAAATGATAGGTATTTTCCAGGGAATAGCTTGAAAATGATAGGATATTATTCTAAAAAGAAATTCAATAATATATTTGAACCGTGGTTGGACCGGTTAAGCCGGTCTCTTGAAGATTCACTAACTGGTTGCTCCTGAAAAGTACAATCAGTATTCATGCTTACCAGCTGAAAGGTGCGCTTTTACCAAATCAACAAACTCAGCAACTGTGCTAGGAAGGACACCATCAAGAAGATCATTTTTATCCGACGCCTCAGAAGCATATACTGCTGCCTCTGTCCCTGTAGTTGTTGCAGCCTCTGAGCCTTTGACCTGAAGAATAATTACTGGGCCTTAATACTCTGGTAATCTTGTTCAGTGTTTCACTAACCAAAAAAAAAACCATTGATGTTTATTTGAACTTGTATATTGATTCGAGGAACAAGCCAGTATCAGTAGAATAACCATGACCCTTTGCTGAATTCAGGATTACAAGAAAGTATGTTTCCTAAAACTTGCTCAAAACTACGTCCAACAACAATATGGAAAGCTGGCACTTGCAAGCACCATTAGTCCTTTCATCACCTCCAAATAACAATAGTTCATGAGATATTACAACATGTAGGGAAACCTTGACATACAATGAATGATGTTTGCACTGGACCATTTCTGTAACCAAGCCATATGCCCATATTAAACAAAAAGTGCCTATTTGATTCAAAGGAAATTAATACGAATTTTGAAGGATAGGAATCCTTAGAAGTTTTCCTATGTAGGTTGTTTGACTTGTAGGACTGTATCCTATAGATTTTTTTTCCTAATGATTCTGCTGCATTGCGTTTCATAGGAAATTTTCTAGTAAATCAAACCTCTTGGAAATATTTCATTGTTTCTCATATGGTGCAAAAAAAAAATCTTGCAGGACTCCATGCATAGCAATAGTACACATTCGTTCAATTATTGCAATTCTCGAATCCTGATAATCAAAGAGGCCTTGTATGTTACTCCATCCAGTGTGTCATGGACATAGATGCCGTCTCCAACACATAATTATACCCACATTGTAGTATATTTACAAAACCCAGTGAAACTATAATATGATGAAGGGCAATATTTTTTATTTATCACCGTAAAAGATCACCAAGCTGGAATACTATCAATTGTGCCATATGGCAGGTGGACACTAGCCCCAGGCTCAAACTATCATCCTTGTATTGGAAGGTATTTTCCAGTTTATAGCTTTGGTCATTTGGTGCAATTAC